TCATCTATACGCTTTCATATGGTCTTTTGTCCCGATAGAGTAAGTCGCTTTCTCACCTGTCCAAAGCACCAAAGACAAATCCTGTGACTCCAACAAGTTTCATTGCTCGCAGATCTTCCAACATCACGCTGACTTCATCCTGTGTGTAGACAAAATCGCCCCTCGGGGACGGAGCATCACGAAGAGTGGCATTCGGGGAACGAAGCTCGTATACGTCGAACCAAACCTGAAACTTTCATTTTTGAAATCGAACTAAATTAATCTGCAAGACCTCTTCAGTTTCTCTACCATAAAATTAATGGAATACCCGTATCAGTCAAAATATTTATGTATTATGCTATTCATATTTGAAATGATCATATTCTATTGAGAATTATGAAAAAGCTATACATTATCGCCGAAGTAGTAGAAAATCTAGATGGCCTTCGAAATTGGACATTCATGCCCTGATATTCCCACAGAATTCGACTCACCTATGGATGGTGTTAGACCACCCAATGCCAACGAACTGCATACCTCAAGTTGATGAGCACCTGAAATTTACCTTGTATTCAACTTCACACTTTTGAAGCACTTTAAAGTACAATACAGAGCTCCAATTACAAGGGCAATTCTGCTGTACTGTTGTGCTGATAAAATTTGTCGAACCACTGACACTGAATTTCGATACTGTTGATAGTATTCCGTGCGACGAATTTCAATTTTCCGAACTGATCAGCGATGGCTTTCGCACTTGTGGAATTCACGACATGCAAATGGGAAGTCAGATTGCAATACCAGACACTTTTCGTCAATCATCAAGCAGCAAAAATGTATCCATCTTATGAATCGCTTGAAGTAAGGCGAGAAATCGAATAAATATTCATCCACAATAAACTCTTACAGACCTTTGCTGACAGATTTTCGGCTGACAGAATGTGTTCTTCAAAAGTCTGATACAGCGCGAACTACGTAGCTACATATGGAAGGGTGGCCTAGCTTCCTCGGGTCATTCTACCTCCTATGGACAAGGTAAGGCAAAGCCTGCTCTCAAATTTCGACCAGCGCAATGACTACCTTAGATGGGGAATAGAATAACATCAGCGTTATGTTCATTAAAAATTCTCCATTGATTTATCTACCTATGGGTGCACCCCACGCGCGGCAAGAAGGCAGAGTCGGCGGACGAGTTGCAGCGCGTGGTGTGCGATGTAGGACGTGCAGTGGGACACTCTATTTAACTTGACGCGAAATCCCTATAGTACGCGCGCGACTCGTCCGCTGACTTTGCCTTCTTGCCGCGCGACGGGCCTCCTGGGAGGTGTATCCCATCGATGATATTCATTACCGCAACTCTACACGCATCGGCCAGTATGCATATTCTTCAAAATTGTTATGCACAAGAATGCGTGAAAAATTGAATGCCACCAGAAGGATGAATCCATACTCTTCCGCCTGAGGGGCTTTCTCGACGCCCGAAATACGTAGGGCTCGATATTTGCGCCACACTTTTCCTTTGGATCAGCGCTACGCACCCGAATGAGCCCTGCTTCAATTGCACGTTTCATCATTACGCAACTCTCACTATCACCTTCTTCGCCTACTTTCTCCATCGTTTTGTTTTTATTCCAAATTGTTTTATAGACATTTCGATGTTCGCGCTGCGTTGCATTTATTTAATTTGGGCGCTCATGCTCGTAGGGGCGGCGGGCGAGAGCGTGGAGAGGAGCTGCGAACATTTAAAAGAAAGGCGAGGGGTAGGCCCGGACGTTAGCATCATTAGCAGACAGAAGGGAGAGAAGCGTCAATGAAAAAGTCGCTTGGGCACATTCCCTCGCTAACTCCCTCTCACTATCTCCCCTCCAATCTCAGGCTTAATCCCAAGCACAAGAATTGGCCTCTAACTTGAATGTCCTCCCCCATCTAGCGACATAAAATTGATCAGGCATTATCGCTGCATTACCTAAGCTTGAGGTTGCGTCGTGAGACCAATAACCGCGGACTGCTGGGGATGTGGATGGTTGCGATTTGTGTGGTTGCAGCAAACTTGCGACAGTTTTTGTATCGCGTGCACGCAGTCAAGAGACGAGCCCCTCCATTAGTAGGCTCGACATGATTGTATAATAGTTTTCTAGTTGTCTGCTTACAATTGTCTGTTTCTAGTCTCTGACACTGATATTAACTTCATTCGGCTAACGTTTGGCGCAGCCGCCTCCATCTGAGCCTTTCTAGGAGCCGAGAGTTAGAAGGCATTCTTTCTCCTTCACAAAATCTCCATTCGCGACATTGACGTGCCTACTAACGCGACTCCTAAAAAAGCTACCAAAAAGGCGCGTCCGCCGAAATATTATCAGTTATCAGTAATTATCAGCCTTGGACGGTCAAAACAGCCAACTTTAATGGAAAATTGTATAGTCACCATACAAATGTTAGCAAGTCGTCACCCAACCCTCCATTTACGGCATTGACGGCAGATTCGTACGAGTCAATACAAATCTCCAATCTGCCTCCCATCTGAAACCGTAGGCATTATCAAATGTTTTCGAACGATATCGTCTGAAGTCGATTACGTGGAACTCACATGATATGGATGATAGATTTTCAACGTGGGAAAAATGCTAAAGAAATAGGAAAAATCTGTTCAAATCGTGGCTTATCTCACAATTATATTTCTTTCTATTAAACGTAAAACAATCAAATTACACACTCGTTTTGTAGCGTCATTTTGGGCCCAAAAGCTTTATATACGCCTCTGCGAAACAGCTACCTTTCAGGTGGTACATAGATATTAGGTGATGCAGGGCAAGCCAATGTCAGGGATTCTTCGAAAAGGAAGCGGGATTATTTAGTGGTATCTGAGAAGAAATTCATAAATGAAATCAGCAAAAGGCTTCTTACAAGTAGAAGAAGGGAGGGGTCCAGGGGTTTTGTGGGAACAGCCTTTGCGTTTTTTCTTAAGAATTTCTAGCGAGTTTTCAGGAAAATTACGAAAATCTCAGAATTAGCCTTATTTCGAGTGCATATGAGGGTGTGAACAGGAAGGAAAGGGAAGGGGGATCAGGTAGGCAGAGCACTTTACGATTACCTAAGTAGCATTACACGTTCGCGTGTGAGTAGACCGGACCACGAAGGCCGTGCTATTTTCATGGCTTAAAAGTGGTGGTGCAGGTTTACGCCGTCACAAATCCGGACCCCATCTAACAGCACGACATAAAATTTGGATCACGCCGTCTGCGTCTCTCCAACCTCCACCCTCTCTCGTTCACTCCTCGTCACGTTGCGTTCGACTTTGACTCAATGCGTTTGACTGTGTCCTGTACAGTAGTAAGCTGTGTAATGTCATAGACCAGCCCTGAAGAGAAGCCATAGAAACTGTTTTCGACAGTTTCTTCCGATTCTCTCTTCATTTTCAGCACCCGCATCTCATACTCGAACCCCAACAGCTACGTTCTGCCACCCATTGTATGTTCTGGAAGCCAAGTCTTGGATCGAACCGATATTTTACTGTTGACAATGGAGACGCGG